GACGAGGGACTGTAAGGGGCAGGTCGACTCCGGGTGTTGTGCTGAGGGAGAGGTTGTCTGTAAGTGAGGTGGGATGTGGGTTAGTTCTGTAAGGGAGAGATGTGACTGCTAAGGAGGATAGGATAGGGTGCCTCCGGAAGGGAGAGGTGTAGTAAGGAGATGAGGCATAGGGTGTGTCGGAAAGAGGGAAGAGGTTCGTTCATGTAAAGCGAAGGTGAGGATAGGGTATGTGTCTGCAAAGGGCAGATAAGGATTAGGGTGTTTCTGTAAGGGGGAGAGGAAGTCTTTGTAAAGGAGGGTGAAGTAGGGCTGTCTCGTGGAGGAGAGAGGTGAGGAAAGGGAACCTGCGAGGGAGAAGATTATAGGGTTGTCTGTGAAGGTAGTGTGATAGAATGAGGAATAGGTTAAGGTACGCCCCATTCCCAAAGGGCGACCGTAAGGGGAGGGAAAGTGTATGGAAGTTCTGACCCGCAACCTTTTAAGGGTATGCAGGCGTGGCCGAGGTTAAGGCAACAAGCGTGGGGAGATTGGGGGTAAACTTGATTTAGGTTAGGGTGGGGGAAAGAGGGGTAAAGAGTGGAGGCGTGTTGGAAAATGCTGGCCTTCGCGGAAGGTTAGCGTGCGAGAGGGAGAAGGTGTTTGAAAAACTGAGTGGTGTAGGAAGAGCGTGCGGAGAGGTGAGAATGGGGTGGGGGTGTTGAAGGGGTGAAAATTACGGAGGGTTGTAGGTAAGGGTTGCGAGAGGGTGTTATCGGGAAGCGAAGAGAAGCCGAAAGGAGAATTGCGAAATGAGATGATAGAAAGGGGCGGATAGGACAGGTTGGTGGGAGGTACGAGGGAAGGCAGAGAAGGAAGAAAGGAAGGGATGGAGAGAGAGAGAGGAGAGAGACAGAAGAGCGAGAGAGATGCTCGTAGAGAGAGGAGAGATGAAGAGAAGACCTGAGGAGAGACAAGACGAGAGCAGAGCAGGAGAGGGGGGGGGGGGAGGCCAACAAAAAGGAAAGCGAGGAAGTGATGGGAGGGCGGAAATGAGAAAGTAGAAAGAGGGGGAGAAAAAGAAATAATAGAGAAGGCAGGGAGCAGTAGGCGAAGAAAAAAGAAAGAAAGAGAGCAGCAGAAAGAGGAAACGAGGGANGGTGGGTTGGTGCGTGGGCAGGGGCAAGGGCAAGGGGCAAGGGGGGGGGGGGGGGGGGTGTAAAGGATTCTGTGAGAAATGCAATGGATCTTATTTATCTGTGTTCATGCATGTATGTATGTCTTTTCTCCTCCCTCTGTCTCTTCTCCATCTCTCTCTCTTCCCCTCCCTCTCCCTCTCTGTCTTTCTGCCTGTCTGTCTCTCACTCTCCTGTCTCTCTGTCTCTCTCTCTCCTCTCTCTCTCTCTCTCTTCTCTCTCTCTCTCTTCTACTCTCTCTCTCCTCTCCCTCTCTCTCCTCATATCCTCCCTTCCCCTCCTCCTAATCCAGTACCGTCCTCCATCCCTCCAACTTTTAACCATTTCCTAACTTCGCATTTTTTTTTTTTTTTACATACACACAGTTATCTCCTTCCTTTGTCTTTAACCTCGTCCTAGTTGCGATAAAATGGATGCCCTGGGGAATTTTCATCGTAATGTTAACTTTTCGTAGTCTTTAATCCTTCAGCTTAGATGAAGAGGAAAAAAAATGTTTTTAACGGATGAAAAGTGGTGGAGGAAGAAGCGGGGGAGTAGAAAGATGAAGAAGAGGGAAGAGGAATAAGAGGAAGTGGAATTGGAGGAAGAGGAAGAATGTGGAGGTAATGGAGGACGGTGAAAAGAAAAACGAAGAAGAAACGGAAGAAAAAAAAAACAAAAAAGAAACAGCAGAAGAAAAAAAAAAAAAAAAAAAAAAAAGAGAAGGAATAATGATCACCAGCAGACAAAGCCCAGACTACCCCCCACCCTCCCCCCACCACCCAAGAGCACAAGCGACGGCGCCCACTTACTCATGACTTCTGCTTGAACTTCTCGACGAGCGCCCGAACGCCGACGCCATCATGGCTCCAGCACCGTGCAGAGGAGCCGTACATTCGTCGCGGGGACTCGCCAGGGCACGCCAGCTTGCGAGGAGCCACGGCGGCGGAGGCGGTGGCGGCGGCGGCGGCGGTGCTGCTCCTCATGCTCCCGTGGGCGGCGTCGGGAGGGCGGCGGGCGGCTCATGGCCCATGGGGGGAGGCATCATCTCCCTCGCTCTGGCATGGCGGGCACGGCAGCGCCTTCGACAGGAGGAGATGCGGGCTGCCTTTTCTCTTTTTTTTCCTTTCGGTCTCCTTACTCTTCTCCTTTTTCTTAAATTTCCTTCAAGTTTCTCTCATTTTCTCCGGACATTCAGAAAGTTTCCAACACATTCAATCTACGAGAAACTCAAACATAAATCACTAAAAAAAAAAAAAAAAAAAACACTCAACACAAAATCAAAACAAAACGCCCGTAATAAATCCACAATGATAAAAATCTGAAGTTCTAAACCAACAGCATCCACGCCCATCCACTTGGACGCAGGGATCCACTTTCCGTCCACTTCGCCCTCATCCACAATGGCGTGTTACAGATGTTCTTGTAATGTGTGGTTTGGGCGCCCACGCTCGCCGGTGACCATGGAGACAATGTCTCTATCTCTCTCTCTCTCCTCTCTCTCTTCTCTTCTCTCTCTCTTCTCTCTCTCTCTCTCTCTCTCTCTCTCTCTCTCTCTCTCTCTCTCTCTCTCTCTCTCTCTCTTCGTGCGTTTTCTTTTTTTTCTCTCTCTCTCTCCCTC